CCCTGCTAGAGGAAATGGAGAGATAGTTTTTTCTTAGGTTTCCCCTGTAGTCCTTGTTTCCTTGTCCCAAAAAAAGTTTCTCTATGAACTCTGAGTTTCTGTCATCGATTACACTCTGGAAGGTTAGACTGGTAGCTGAAAACTGCTGTGACCACTTCCTGTAGCTTGAACTGAAAAATATTTGCATTCATAGAAGAGCAAAACTGTCTAACCTGAAGTTTTGTGTATTTTTAAAGGCAAAAAATTCCCAAAATTTGGAAGGTAAATAACCCTTACAATATATGGTTATGATGTACTTTAATTGAGAATAAACATCAGGTGATGTAGAAGGTAACAGCAACGGTGCTTTATTGGACAAAAAGAAAAATTTAGCAAAGGGAAGTATTCAAAAGGTATGAACTGTTAAGCTGTAGCCTTTCATAGGGTAGCATTATGTGAACATTATAACAGCACATGGTAGCATTATATGAAAATTATAATATAATATATATTATAAACATATAATAATGGTAGCATTATTATATATTTTAATATATATGTCAAGTCACATCTATCATTTTAAACAGCATTTAAAAACTTTACTTGTTTTCTTGAAAATTTATTACCATGTTTCCTGAAAATAAGACAGGGTCTTATATTAATTTTTGCTCCAAAAACACATTAGGGCTTATTTTCAGGAGATGTTTTATTTTTTTCATGTACAACAATTACATTTATTCATATACAGTCCTGTCATCTTCTTCTGGTTGCTGCATAATGGTGGAGGGCAGTGTTTCACTTGACTGGGGCCTATTTTGGGGGTCGGGTTTATATTACGAGCATTCTGAAAAATCATACTAGGGCTTATTTTCAGGTTAGGTCTTATTTTCAGGGAAACAGGGTACTGTATATATATTGCTTTGTTCCTGACCAGCTTTAAAATTTGTTTTGGAAATAATTTGTGATTGTATGTCCTTGTGATAATGATACAAACTTTTTCTCATATACAAAATCCTATCAGCTATACTGGAAATACCACAGTCTTGAAAGACAGCTTAGTGTTCATATTTCAAAAGATTTCAAGTGAATATATCTTCCTATTCAAATCTAGGTGGTTTTTGGTGTTGCTGCTTTATTGCCTTCACTAAATTAATGAGTAACTAAAAACCATTGGAGATAATAAATTCAAGGTAGGGAAAAATATTTCTGCAATAGCTTGTAGGATGCTTACTAGCAATATTGAAATGGCCTCTGACTGCATAAATGAAAATGAACATAATATTTGAGACTAAGATGTGTTTTATGTACTTCTGTATGAGACACTGGGGACTACCTGGAGATTATTACTTAAACTGGATTCTTCACAGCAAACACACTCCTACCTGGCAATAACTTAACATTATTAAAACTTTATTACAATAGATTATCCCACAGACTCCTAACATACTTCAGTGTAAATTAAACTAATGCATCCCAAGGCACTTAAAAACTGAAAATGGCTTTGAAACATAATAGCTGACTTTGTTCCTAGTGTCCATTTAAATATCCATTCATTTGGGGGAGGGACAGGGTGTTGCCATAGTCCATGGGAGTTAGCAAAACCTCTGCTCTCACATACTTTGGCATGGAGTGCCTACACTTCATGTTGGACCAGTGGGATAGAGTAGGAATAATCTTGGTGTACTGCTCTGCTTTAAAAGAAACTAATATAAGACCCATTCCTAAGAGAACCAACATGGAAACAGATGAATTACGTAATAGACCCACTGTGAATATCCCATTTCTGAACAAGTTAATAGAGAATGTGGGGGCTGATCAACTGTAGGTATTCTTGGATGAGATGGACAGTCTGGATCCATTTCAACTGGAGTTCAGGCCACATTATGGGACAAAGACACCACTGATCACTTTGCAAGACAATCTCCTAAGGGAAGCCGATGAGGGGAATGTAACCCTGCTACTGCTCCTAGATACTGTCAGTCTTGATATCCTGCAAATGCTATCGAGTTTAGAAATTGAGGCGTCTGCTCTTTCCTGGTTCCAATCCTTTCTTGATAGCAGAATCCAAGATGGAACAGCTTGGGGATTTTGTTTCAATACAGCGGGATCTCTGCTATGGGGTCCCACACAGGTCTATCATTTACTCAATGTATTTTAATAATTCTATGAAGCCGCTTCGAGAAATCATTCAGAGATTTGCAGTGCATTGCCACCTGATGACATGGAGCTTTATCGCTCCTTTGCTTCATCTTCAGAGGATGCTATTTGGGTCCTTGGTCGCTGTCTGTCATTGGTTATGGATTGGACAAGCGCTAACGAATTGAAACTAAATCCAGACAAGACAGAGATCTTTTGGAATAAAACCGTCAGCCATTCTCACGACATGCCCAAGCCAACATAGATGTCGCTGTTTCAGCAATGTATGCATGCTAAAAATTCCAGCTTGTTCCAGGACTACCCTATTTGGAACTTTGTCCTGCCAGGCGATGCCAAAAATGCGTCAGAGACAATGCATATGGAACATGTTAAACTTCCTCTCCTGCTGTGCACAAAGGGTCCAGGACTCACTGCCACACAGGACTGTACTCAGGACACAGGCTCTATAGACCTGGATCTTGGTATATGCCGTCAGCTTTTTCTTAAGACAGACTCTCTTTGTGAGTCTAGAGAACATGGTAGCTGCTTTGCCAATGCATTTATCCAGCTCGACATCTAGAGAGTGTCAGAGTTCATTGAGCCAAGGTACACAAAACCATGAACAACCTCCAATTCTTGTATAGAGATGGTAATAGAGGGAGGTGAGTCCACACTCTGGCACATAGCTTGTGTTTTCTTCAGGCTGATTGTTAATCCTAAACCTTGGCAGACCTTACTAAAATGATTAATAAGTTGTTGGAGGTCTTGAGCGGAACGGGGAACAACAACGGTGAAGAGGAAGTCCCACATGCATTTCAGTTGGACTTTGGTCTTCGCTCTCAATCTAGGGAGATTAAAGAGCTAGTCCAGAGATAGACACCTTCTGTTGCAGTTCCAAAAGTGTGCTTCTGCACGACAGCAAAAAAGATCCCAGATAGAGTCAGCTCGAGGACACAGCCCTGTTTCACTCCGCTTCAGATGTCAAACGGATCTGATGTCAAGCCATCAAAAACTACAGTGCCCTTCATTTCCTCATGAAAGGACCTGATGATGTTAAGGAGTCAAGGTGAACATCCAATCTTGGGAAGTATTTTAAAAAGGCCGTCCATGCTAACCAAATCAAAGTCCTTTGTAAGATCTATGAAGGCCACAAAAAGTGGCTGTTCTTGTTCCCTACATTTATCCTGCAACTGTCTGAGGGAAAATACCATGTCAATGCTGGATCTATTAGCTTGAAATCCACACTGTGATTCTGGATAGACTCTGTCTGCAAGCACCTGGAGCCTCTTTAGCACAACACACTGAGAAGAGAGATGCCATGGTAGTTATTGCAGTCTCTCCTTTCACCTTTGTTCTTATACAATGTGACAATGTTAATGTTTGCATCCTTCATGTCTTGTGGTACTCCACCTTCCCTCCAGCAAAGACAAAAGATTTTGTACAGCTCTATGGTGATGATCTCTTTACAGCACTTCAACAGGGATGCTATCCTTTCCCAGTGCCTTGCCAGAGGCAAGGGAATCCAAGGCCGCATTTATTTCTGCTAAAGTTGTTTTGCTGTCCAACTCTTCCAAGACAGGCAGGCACTCAATGTTATTTAATGCCTCCTCAGTTTCTTCAGCAATACCATTTCTTTTAATTGTCAGTTTTATCTTCAGTACTGCTTTTCACAAATTTACCACAAAATACATATTAATGTTCATGTACTTTTCTGGGATTCCCCTTTGTATTCATTTTTAAAATGTAGTGTTATGTTAGCTCATCCCTCTGGTAGGGACACTAATTTAGAAACAGATTGCATATTTTAGTTAAATTCAGAAATTTCACTTTTGAATTTTAATGTTGCTTAGATGTAGTGGTAAGAATTTTTAGCTTATTTGGTTCCAGACTTCCTCTCCTGTCAGCTCTATATGACCTTGTTCTTCAGAATCTTTAAGATCCATCCTCCTCCAAGGAAGCTTCATGATACTGGAACATAAAAAAAATATATCTCCAGATTGTGTTTCATCTGTTAAGAGTGGAGCTCATATGCAGTATGCTGACTGCAGACAACCGACATGTGACAATGTTCTTAGAATTTTTATATTTTTGCTGAGGGTCCATATTTTATAAAATAAGTACCTTTTTAGAACTGTTTTCCTCGTCTCTTCACAAATTATGAAATGGAAACAATGTGTATCTCCTCTGTATCACAAATACATTACATATGAAAGTTATGCACTTACAACTGGAATGCTTTACTATAATTGCTTAACTATAGTAATTGCTAGAGAATACAGTGGTGCCTCGCTTAACGATTTTAATTGGTTCCAAAAAATTCATCGCTATGGGAAAACATCGCTAAGCGAAACGCGTTTTCCCATAGAGTTGCATTGAAAACTGGATAATCCATTCTAATGAGAACGGATTGCCGTCCTTAAGCGAAAATCGCCATAGGAAACATCGCTAAGCGAAACACGGTTCCCCCATTGGAATGCATTGAAACCTTTTCAATGCATTTCAATGGGGGAGAAAAAAATCACCAAAAATTCAAAAAGAGTCAGAAGGAAGCCAAATTTGGTTAACAAAGAGTTTATTAAGTGCACTAATGATTTCAAGCACTCTAAACCCTTTAAAACAATTTAATACCTTTTAAAAATAGCTAAAATGTAGCTGTCAAAAACATCACTAAGCGAAACAGGGGGACCTAAACTGTCATCGCTAAGTGAAGCAAGGTCCCGAACATCGCTATGCGAAATTCCCCCATTGGAAACATCGCTAAACGGAGCACAAGATCGCTCCTAAAACCTCATCGCTAAGCGAATACATCGTTAAACGAGGCAATCGTTAAGCGAGGCACCACTGTATTGAATGGCAGTTATCACACTGATAAATATTATACTTACCTATGTCGGTTTCTTTATGATTCTTGATATATTCAGCAAGCTCAAAATTTCCTGCAATTATTGCCACCTGAAAGATGACAGACTAGTGAGATGAGTTCAAAACAAACAAATAAGTCAATGTCAAGTCATTACTGTTACATGATGTACTTGAAGCTACCTTTGAAGATGGTTAGGAAACATGAGCTAACTCAAAATGCTGCTGCCAGACTGCTGACTTAAGGGCAGTTATAGGGAACATGTAACACCTTTCGTACAACAACTGTATTGGTTACCTGTCGAAACTTACCCTCTCTTTTATTCTTCCGCCAACAGCTGAAGATCCACCTCTTCAGGCAGGCTTTTAATAACCATGACTGAGACACAGGTTGCTAATTTTTCGTTAAATCAGTTTGCTTTTAAAGCAAACCTATTTAACTGCAGCCCCTCATCCAAGTCATTAAATGCTTTTAATAACAATGTATTTTTAATTATTAGTGTAATTGCTTTTTATGTGTTTTAATTGTTTTAACAATTAATTGCATCCCCTTGTTGGGAGACAGGCAGTCTATAAACAATACTAAATAAATAAATAAATAAATCATGTACAATTAGATATGTTCAAATGCAGCATGAAAAAGCTTCTTCAATCTCACACCTTTTGAAAAGATGGTCTTGATGTCTACAGAGCATGCTTTTAACATCAACAAACATATACTTTTACAGCTCAAGATTTATTTGGGCAAGTGAAGATTCATCTACTTCCTCCTGTTGGCCGCACTATTAGGAGGAACATGGGGGCCAAAAAAAAATCACCAAATATTAATTTACTTAATATACACCTATATTCTTCTATCAACAAGAAATCAAAGAAGAAACTAAAGAAACAGGATAACCTATTTATAATGAATACAAACTGTAAATAAATAAAGTCCTGTTATATATTACACCTGCATAGGGGCAAAGATGACACCAGTAGGGAGAGATTCCCAGTAATCAAAGAGTTCCTGCTTTGATCCTGGAAAACACCTGACTTGCCTGTAATCGATGTCATTACACACAAGTCAGGCAAGCCCTGCAACAGAATTAGGACTTCTTCAGCTGGTGGCAACCTCCCCTGGCAGTAACATAGAATGAAAGAATAATGGGGTTGGAAGGGATCTAAAAAGCCACTGACTCCAACCCCTTGCTCAAAGCAGGAATCCAAATCAAAGTATATCTGATAAATGGTTCTAGTTTTCTCTTGAATGCCTCCAATCAATGTTTCCTCTAATTTTCAGACCCGCTGGTGGGGCTCTGCCCCTTGAGCATGTACCTTTGCCCCTGCATGCATGCTACTCCACCACCCAGGGGTTCATTTGCAACCAAAAGGTCTGGAAATGATTGCCATGCATGCAGGGCTCCTCCACCATGCAGAGGAGCCCTGCACAGAGTGGCGAAGAGTTGCACAAGTGTGTACCTTAGAGTGCTGAAGCACTCAACACCTCCTGATCTACTTGGTTCCATTGGTTTACTGCTCTAATAGTTAGGACGTTTTTCCTGACATTCAGCCAAAATCTGGTTTCCTGAAACTTCAGTCCATTAATATGCATCTGCACCCCTTGGATGACAACCTTTCAACTATTTGAAAAGGGTTTTCAGAGCTACTTTCAATCTTCTTTTCTCAGGGTTAAACATGCCCAAGTCTTTCAGTCTTTGCCCAGAGGAATTTATTTCCATTTTCCTAATCTTCCTTGCTGCCCTTCTCTGAACTTCTTCCAATATGTCTGTATCTTTCTCAAACTGTGATGTCCAGAACTGGACACAATAGTCTAGATGAGGCCTAGCCAGTCCTAAATAGAGTGAGTAATACCTCACAGTATTTGCAGACTATACTTCTGCTAATGTTGCCTCAAATAGCATCGGCCTTTTTTGCAGCTGCGTTGTGCTATTGGCTCATAATAAGTTTGTGATCTACAACAATTCTAAAATGTCATATATTGTGTTACTAAACTAGCATTCTCCATCTTGTAACTGTGTGTTTCATTTCTTTTTCCTAGATGTAGAACCTTGCACTCCAGAACTGGACACAATAGTCTAGATGAGGCCTAGCCAGTCCTAAATAGAGTGAGTAATACCTCACAGTATTTGCAGACTATACTTCTGCTAATGTTGCCTCAAATAGCATCGGCCTTTTTTGCAGCTGCATTGTGCTATTGGCTCATAATCAGTTTGTGATCTACAACAATTCTAAAATGTCATATATTGTGTTACTAAACTAGCATTCTCCATCTTGTAACTGTGTGTTTCATTTCTTTTTCCTAGATGTAGAACCTTGCACTCACCCCTGTTAAATTTCAATGATTTTTAGGCCAGTGCTCAAGCCTATTAAGTTCCTTTTGAATTTTGTTTCTGTTTTTCAGAGTATTATCTATTTGTCCCAATTTTGTGTCATTCATGAATTTCATAAGCATTCCCTGCAACCTCCAAGCTGATTTTATATATAATCCAGTCTACCCTGGTGCTGGACAGCATAACCGGGCGGACAGGCGAGTGCAAGGGTGGGACCCCCCTCTCCGCCAATCCGCATTTTGGTTATGCATGCCAGGTCTGCATCCTCCTCCAGGATAAGATCGTAAATCACCTGGGCCTTATTGGACACAGACCTGGCATTCAACAACACCAGTTTTAGAATGGAGGGCTGGCTGGTCTGACTACCTCAATATTGACCGTTGATCACAGTCTCAGAACAATAAACAGCCTTCAAGCATCTGTTCATCATTCTTCTAACACGAGTAGGGACTGTGCCAGTGCCATATCTCCCTCTACCTGTGATCACAGAAATGTTCAGAGGTCCCTCGCTGGGAGAGCAGGCCTTCCATTCCATATCAAAGAAAGGGGGAAACCCTAAATTAGTACAGTTTAAATAACAAAATAAAAATACATAAATCGAATATAGTGTAGTAAAAATATATATATAATAGAATACATAAAATAAGCATACAAAAACCAATTACAATGTAATAACTAAAAAACCCAAATTGTAGAGTTAAATTATTTATGTACTAGAAAAAAGAAAAACTTTTTAGAAAATCCCACGGTGTTTATCCCCCACATATAGTTCTGAACTGTCTTTCTCTGACATGTGGCCCTGTCCTTTTTGATGTTATTAGGCTTGATGTTATTAATGGCGCTGGTGTGTGGATCTTGCTAATGGGGCAGGTCACACAGTTCTCCATAGTGGGCACAAAGTTCTCAATAATATGCACAAAAGGCATCAAAAGCATGATGTCAAGTTGTTCAGTCTTTAGTTCCCAGGTTCCTTCCTTCGAGACAGTGGTGTTCAGTCTTTAGTTCCCAGGTTCCTTCTTTCTGTCCTTTTTGAAAATAGGGACAGCATTAGCCCTCCTCCAGTCATCTGGCACTTCACCCATCCTCCATGATTTCAAGAAGATAACAGACAGTGGTTCTTAAGAGTTCATCTACCAGTTCCTTCAATACTCTTGGGTGCAGTTCATCAAATCTGAAGAGCTGAACTCATGTTCAGTCTTTAGTTCCCAGGTTCCTTCTTTCTGTCCTTTTTGAAAATAGGGACAGCATTAGCCCTCCTCCAGTCATCTGGCACTTCACCCATCCTCCATGATTTCAAGAAGATAACAGACAGTGGTTCTTAAGAGTTCATCTACCAGTTCCTTCAATACTCTTGGGTGCAGTTCATCAAATCTGAAGAGCTGAACTCACTCAAAATAACTATTTATCAATCTCAAGCTGCAATCTCATCACCTTTCATGTTTGCCTGGAGAATCACAGATTCTTTTAGGAGGAAGACATCATCATTCTTGCACAGGTGTCATTTACAAAACTGGATTTCTGCCATCATGTTGCTGCAGAAACACATCTTACTAAATATCTGCAAACGTTCACAAATTTCTAGCTTCAGTTTTAACTTTGCGAAATTGCTGTCCAACCACAAGCCCCATGGCACAGTGATTATACTACAGTAATGTAATCAAGTTTCTACTCACGACCAGAGTTTAATCCCGATGGGCTCAGATAGCTAGCTCAGGGTTGACTCAGCCTTCTATCCTTCTGAGCTAGGTAAAATGAGTACCCAGTTCACTGGGTGGCAAAGTTTAATTTCCATAATTATGTGGTAAACCACCCAGAGAGTGCTCTAGCACTATGAGGCACTATATAAGGCAAAACAATAAACTAACATACAAAAAAACTTTTTGCTATTTTTAATTTTACAACTAAAAAAGTTTAGCAGAAAAGAGAAAAGGTACCATCCAAGTGTAATGGCATTTCATGCATCTAAGAGTGTGTGCACAGATGTGCTTGTCTTTCTTGTTTCCTTCCTGTCACATTTGAACAAGTTCCAAAAAGTAATTTGCCATAAGACTTAGGCTGGTGTTCAAGGAACCTGCAGTGCCTTTGGACTTAGAATTAGGCATATAGCTCTAGTTAGACTAGACACATTCTTGCCAAATTGCAATAGAAATCACTACATAAATACTGGTAAATCATCTGATGAGTCTGCTCTCCATTGTAAAGGTGCCGCAAGTATTCACCTAATGTACTTGTTGGCCCATTAACTATGACACATGTTAATCATGGGTCTTGACTGATTGCTGATGTAATCAATTGAGGGAGGGAAATGCTGGAAAATGGTGTGCCGGGGTCAAAGACAGATGGTTCTCTTGATGTAATCAATTGAGGGAGGGAAATGCTGGGAAATGGTGTGCCGGGGTCAAAGATAGATGTTTCTCTTGTTTTTTCTGAATACATACTAATAAATAAAAACTTCTGGAAAAATACATGTTTTGACAGTAAAAAGCTGCTTTATATCACAGTGGTGAAAATTCTGTTTGTCTAAGTTCTGCAAAATAAGGCTGATTATGTTACCAACCAAGACAATTTTTTGGTCCCAAGTAACCCCTTTCACTTTTGGGAACCAATTGGCATTGGGTTATGGGAGGGAGAAGTCTTTAATTACTGAAAATTGCCACCACTGGGCAGACTTTGCTCAGTCTCCTGTGAAAAAAGAGCTATGCTTGAAGGCTTCATGGCCTAGATAGGCCTATCTCTACTTAGCTTCCTATTCAAAAAAGA